TATCAAGTGATCATACCTCTTGTAATTTATCTGGAAGATTTACAAACAAAGATTTTCCACCTGTTAACATTCTTGCACCTTTTTAAAGTAATAAAATGTGTTATGTCTATGTATAAATAACAATAAATAAACAGAAAAAAGTTTACCTTGTATACGATATTGCATTCGACTGCGGTGCATACTTTCCGATAGTTTTGCTGCAAATAACTGTGCTTTATCTTCTAATGATAGATTAGTAGTCTGGCCTAAATCCTGACATAAAATTGAAAATAAAGATTATTATCCAAATATATTGAAAAGAAACCGATGAGTTTTCTAATACATACTCTTAAAAATTGTAATAATTCATCTTTGCGAAAGCTTCTTGGACTTCCAGCTTCATCTTTTTCTGGTGCACCTTTCAAAAATTAAACAGTGTTAAATAGAAACATTTGTAATCTAATGAACAATGAAGTAATAATATATATCAAAGATTATCAATCAACATCTTTAAAATATTAATGTCATTAGGAAAACTTAAAGACATCTGCGTGCCTATTTTTACTTTACCATCATCGTATTAAAAAGCAATATTGAAATGATATTTTTATACGTCAATAAAAAACTATTTTCTCATCAATCTTACTTAATATCAAAATTTGTTCTTCTTCTTCCATATCTATTTTTTTTGATACAAAAAAATTTTTTTCAGCCAAAAATGCTAAAAATAAAGAGAAAAATTCAAACTATTTTACACTTTTAGTTTTCATCATCATCCACTCCAATAGGAAAGATGTAGAGAATATTTGAACATAGTAACAGAACACTAGTAAATACCTAATAATACGACAAGCGGAAACATGAGAAATGTAATAACAGCTTCCCATAAATCGACAACATCTTTTGAGATCACACTTAGTACGATAAACATCCATATATAAGCGAAAAAGCCGAAAAATGATGTTATCATGAAAACGGTATACATTTTAATTCGTCTTATATCTGGAGTAGGGATACCGGAGACGCATAATGCACAAATCATTAATAAGTTATATGCAGCACTGCCAACAATTGTACCTGAAAAAAATTTTAAAAAAATAATCAATAACAACTATTGTACAACAACAGTATTAGATAACAGATCTAGAAAAAAAACTTTTCTATTTTACCTGGTCCCAATTCACCAGCTTCAAATCGATTTCCAACAATTTCAATAATTGATAGTAATATTTCTGGTGAACTCGATCCTAATGCCATTAATGTTAAATTTGCCACTGTATCATTCCATATTTTCACTTCAATATGTAAATATTTATCTGCTTCACCATTTGGATCGGGATACCGAATTTTTCGCTTTCGAGATGTTATTGTTTCTATTGATGACATAAATATATCAGCAATAATGGCTATACCGAGAAATAGATATAATAAAAATATAAAATATAATGCTGCTCGAAGTCTAATGGGCATACAAGCTTCAATTCCTAAAAGAAAAATTTTTTATTTTTTTTATATTAACTAAAATATTATTAATTATCAAAAATACAAACCCCATGGTAAAATTAAACCACGTCCACTACATTTAAATTTATGACAATTCACACATGTGAAACCCGCATTATCCCCGACATCCACCATGACTTGATGATAACCTTGATGATATTAACACAAATTGATAAATTTACATTTCCCCAATCAATATGTGTTATTGTACTAAAAAAAAATCAAACAAATATGATAATAAAAGTTAGTAAGATGATTAGAGAAGTTTTCATTTCTCTAACGGACCAAATTTTAGAATATCACACTTGACAATCTATTTAAAAATCGTTATATACATCTGTTACACTAATGTGAATGAAGTGTAATGGAAACATTAAGGATCTGACTTGTTAACTTTTTTGTTTAATAATTACACATGATAAATAATATTGGTACAAGAAATGTTATGAACAGAATATTACATTATGCATTATACTTTTTAATCGTGGTTAAAAATAAATTCCATATCGTCTGTTTAAGCTCTTTTTATTCTTGTAAACTTTTTCTTTTTTATGGTGCGGTAAATTTTTATCTGATTTTAAAGATCAGTGGCAGTCTCATGGCATGTACTGTTGTCAGCATATTACTGATGAAAAAACCAAAAGAACTGCACTTTACCAAAGATGAAAAAAATTATTCTCTTTTTTTTATCTAAACTCAATGCGATGAAGAAAGAGAGACGGAACGTTTAGAAAATATATTCATATTTCTTAGATAAAGAATTTACTACTCGCCGTAAAATATAAGTTTTCACCACTTAAACTTTCGATTTTCTTTCTTTCTTTTCCATAGATCTTGATAAAAGAAAAGTGAACAAAATATATGCTATGTCTTTTCTTACATTGTGCAAAGAATTATTTTTTTCGTGTCAAATTTTTTTTTTCTTTATATAAATCATCATATTTAAAGTAGCATATACAGGTTTTTTTTTCTTTTCCTTTTTTTTTTTTTTTTTTTTGCTCTATTTGGCAGAAAAAGCTTTAAATCTGTGGAAAACTCTCATGCAATTTTGACTACGTGTATAATAGTCTCTCCATCAACTCTAATTATTCTCATGTATTGTACATTTTTCGAAAACATCATCATCACAATACTTCTTGCTTTTTCATGCGTTTTATTCTATATCAGAAGAAGAAGAAAAAAAAAACGAAATCAAAAAATTCCTTTCAAGTTTTACATATATTATCAGTTACACATCTTTCGTGTTAAATATTAATAAATACTTTTCTTTTCTACTAATATATGGAAATAATAACTTAGGTGTCTTTTGGATAATTCAGGATGAAGCGGTTTTTTTTTCAAAGGCAAAAAAGCATGATTCTAGTCGGAACTCCTATAGAGAATAACGGAAAAATTTTTTCAACGATCAGTTTTTTTTTTTTTTTATATTGAAATATAAATAATATCATCTCTGATAATCATTATACTTTCAAAAACACCTTATACAGACGGAATTCTTGTATGTAAAAGTATATTTTTCTTCTTCTAGAGAAAAGAAAAAAAAAACACAAATAAATTCTCATAACTTGTTTAAGAGATAAAGGAAATGTATAAGATGAATGTACAATATTTATGGATAAAAATTAATGTGTCTATTCTTCTTTGAAATTTAAAATTGAATTTTATTTGACTACATTTTTTCTATTTTTAAAAAATATTTAGAACAAAAAACAAAGTAACACAATTCAACTCGTCAAAATCGTATTAGATTTATTATTATTCTCTTACCAGGTACGAAGTTCTTTTTGAAAAAAAAGAAAAGAGTATCATTTGAAGAAAGCAAAACCCAATATCGAACCGAAAGAAGAGCAACTTGTTTCCTCTTTGATCACATGTTATTATCAAATATCCGGAAACAAAAGAAACAAAAAAAAAAAAAAAAAATAGATAAATAAAATATAGACGTATATGATCAAGTCAAAAAATATTCAATACAGGATTCTATTCAAGAATCATCGGAAGATTCTATATAAAAAAATCATTGGAGCAAAAATAGCGTAGGATTTGATAAGATTCTATTTTATGATTGATTGATCGATCTGAATTTAAATAATAATGTATAGAATACTTTTTGTTATCTTGATTCTATCAAAACAATTACAAAGTCATATTCTTTTATATAACACCTTAATAAAAATTATTGATAAAATGATTACAAATATAAGATGTGTACAAAATATCGAAAATAAAAAGGGGAAGAGGGATAAAACGACTTCTGTCTGGTTATAAATAGAAACAGCAACCAATATTAACAAAAAGTGTAGGATGATGAATGATAAGATCATGAATGAAAACAGTGCAAACAAAAAAGAAAAACTATTTTTATATAGAATCCATTATTATTATTATTATTATTATTATTTAAATGTAGTAGTAATACTTACAATTTAAGACGAAATTGCGATCAATTATGTATGCAAATAATACTGATTAATTGAAAAAATTTTATCTCTTGATAG